TTTTGTGACTAAAAAAGGTATTGTGTGTGATTCAGAATGCTATGGCAGGTCAAAAGGGTCACAAATGCAAACATGCACCAAAATAACAACCGTTTTTCCTTAATTACACCATTTTTGGGATCGTTGAGACTCAAAATCCTAATCTCTATTCAAATTTATTTAACTATATAACTAACTACTACTATTCTATTCAAAGATGCTCATTAAATTTATGCGCAAAACTAAATATCGCATAAAATATTTTCAAATAAAGCACCAGTTCCATCTTGGAGTCAAAGAGAACAAATAGTCATTTGCTAATAAACTGATGATATATCAAAAGAAAAATGGAAGTCGCTGTGTTAGGAGAAGGCCTTTTTTGTATATAATAACTTACTTGCATCTTAATACACGTAAACAAAATGCAATATGTGCTGCTCTTTGGAAACGCAGCTGGTCAACACAGTTCTGAGAGGTGATCAAAAGATAAATCGCATGACTTTTTAGATGCGTATACTGGGATTTATTCCTGTAAATGCATTTCCGTCTTAGTTTATGCACACTTTTTCCTATTCCGGAAAAAAAGTATATCCTACTTCATTTTTACCCTGCATCATTTTGTAATGCGCATTTTCTAAATTTATACTCATCTTTCCATTTCCATCGCAGGGTTTTGTATGCGGTTTTCGAAAATGCTCAGCAACAAACGCAGCTACAGACACTAATTATTTTAAATCATCTGCATTCTGTTGAACAAACACCTTGTTCTGGCGGAGAAAGGGTTAAAATCCACTCAGTGCTTGAATCCTATTCCAAGCATGTTCCTGTCATTTTTGAGCCCCTGACACATTGTGTTCTGAAGCAGAAAGCATCTGCTCCTTTATGGGGAAATTCAATTAGTAATTAAGCAGAATAAAAAAAGAGGAGTCAACATCTGGAGCCATTACATGTTAATGTGATAAGCTGGAAAAAGGCAAGATGGAAGAATATGGCGTGTGTAAAATTTTCAAGGACACTTGGCTCAGAGACTCATCACATGTCAAGTTTACTCAGTCAAAGAAAGGGTTAATCATGCTTCTCTATAGGAGACGAATGCACTTTTAAAGATTCATAGCTTGTTCTTGTTCTAAAAACTTCCATATGGATATTTGACATATTCTCACACACCCGATTCTATAAAAGAAAAAAAATAACGCTTGTGGTTTTGTTGGCCAGGGGAGAGGGAAATATTCCACAGTAGAAAAACTGAGGGGAATTGAGATAAGACAAGCAAACATTACCCAGCTGTGGAAAGGTTTCATTGGCAAGACTCCAGAGAGGGATCGGGAGTGATTCATCAACACCCACAACCATTACTTAATTAGTCCATAAGGTGATGTCACACCTTTCTGGCAATAGATGCATAATCTACTCTATATCACCCTTGAACATTAAACAAATAAATCCAAAAGGGGAACAGAGCACAAATTACACCACAGTATATCCAAAACTTCATAGCATACAGTGCACAAATAAAAGTGTGAATGAAGTCACACAAATCTGGTCGGGTTCACATAAACAACAGGGTTTTCTGAAGCCAGAAAAATAAAGATAGTGCGTTGTGGTTTGGAAGCATGGGTTCACTGAGCAATATTTACAAGAGAGGCATGTGCCAGGCTACAATTAGACATGCTCTCAACAGGGAAAGTATTTTAAAGGGAGTGAAAAGTAGTTGGGGGGGGGGCTATATTCACAAACAGATTATGTTTATTCAGAGCAAAATCACATATAAAAAGTGCTGTTGGAACTAAAGCTCATTTGTTTTTTGTTTTGTATCCACTTTTCTTGTAGCTGGCGCAATAAATTCACCATTCAATTTGTAGTGGAGTTGTTAAAAAGTATATAAAACAGGACTTGCAGTAATTCTCAGCTTTGAGTTATTTGCATCTGGCAAAGTGAAAATAATTGTAAACATGTCTGCGGGATGTTTTACAAATGTTTAATGACTACTGCTTTAAAACAGATCAAATTAAGAATTATGACAAGTAGCCTACGGTGACCATGAGACTAAAATGCCATCCTTTTTAATTATGACACAAAATCATATTACATAGAAGATTCATTAAATGGTTTCCATTGTGGTCTGTTCTATTTACAGCACATTTCTCTATTTATTGAGTGTTTCTTGAGTTATCTGTCTGCCGGATGTTGCATCACCAGAAAAAATGGCATCATCTCTCCTCGAGACAGAAGTTGTTGTGGCCGGAGTCATGATTTTGGCGCACTTTTATTTTGAACTTTCAGGTGTAAATGTAAAACCGTATAATTTAACACCCACAATATTATCAGGCAGTGTACTTATTAACACTGTGTGTTGTTAATCCAACACTTTAGGAGTCATTTACATTTTACACCACCTTTTTTACACTAGTGATTTTATTGTGCACCAATTTCCCCAAATAAAAATAATAATAAAACATTATTTGTCCATGCTAATATTTACTGGTACAATTGTTTGAGAATTTGCTCAAATTATAACAACATTTCAGATCTAAATATAAAGTCATGTGTATCTGTTTTAGTGGAATGCTTTTATGTTTGGACTCAGAAGTTAGTGATGATGATTAAATTGCAGATTGTCTGAAGTGGTAAATGAAAAAAAAAGTGTTGAGCTTCCCTCTCTAATATTGGATCTAGTATCGCAAAACAAAATCAAGATTCAAAAGGAAATAAGTTTCTGAATTAAAAAAGAAATGTCTGGAAAAGGAACAACACTCTATCAGTGCTGTCCACTGCTCCACCATGCCGCCCTATTTACAACATGTTTCTCAAGTTGCTGAGTGTTTCTATATACACTACCGTTCAAAAGTTTGGGGTCACTTAGAAATTTACTTATTTTTGAAGGTAAAACATTTTCCCCCACAATCCTAAACACATGCAACCAAACTTAAGATAACAAGTGCAAAAAAAAAAAAAACATTCAGTATCTTTAATTATGACACAAACTAGTATTAAAGGCTAAAAAAATCACATTATCTGGAGAAGTAATCAAAAACAACGCACATTTCTCACTACCAGTCTACCACCACTGACTCATTGCCACGGAAAGAATAAACACAACCTTGTTGGGGCTCTTTACAATTAACTTTCCCTTTAAAACACTGTGGTCTGTTTTATTTACAACACGTTTCTCTATTTGCTGAGTTTTTCTATAAATGTATATAGGATGTTTGATAGATGCAGCCATATTTTTAATTCAATTTAATTCGGAAAAACAAGCTGATATTGAGTAATCAATTTTTTTTTATCTACAAAATAATATATTTCAAAAGCTTGAAGTCTAGTACTACTGCTTTAATATTTATCAAATTAGAAATGTTGATTACCAATGGACTACAGTGTTCCGTAACATTTTCAACTGTTAAATGGTACAAAGGGAAGAAAAACAAAACTAAAATGCTTAAAAACAAAGCCAACAATTAAAATAACATGGAAGACTGAAGTATTGTTACTGCTGAAAAATGCTCAAAAGTTTCCGTGTGTCACATGGACCAATCGCCTCCGTCTCCAACTTTTCATTCTCTGTTATCAGCACATCCCTTCATTGGTTTTAATTTCCTGCTATATTTATGAAAATCCTCAGAGATGATTAACATGGACTTAATGACCTGCAAAAACAACAACGGCCACTGAGTTTCTTCAGTATGCCGTTACCCACCTCCCTCCCCCATATAAGGGAACAATATACCCCTGGCTTGCTCTCATAAGGATTCATTACCCTGCTCTGAGATTTCCAGGCCAGGCGAGGGAAGCGTTATTTCCCCTGTGTTGCCTCTCACATTGGCAGGGCCATTACTCTTAACACTCCTGCAAAGGGGCTAATGGGGCAGCTTTACTGACAGAGAAGAGGAAGGGGAGAAAGAAAGGGCGGGTGAGTGGGTGAAAAAGGGTTGAGATGATATGGTAATCAGAGAGGGAAGGGATTTGGGAATTCTGAGAGGATGGAAGTAATGCGAACGAGAAGTAAAAATGTAATTTGTTGATCTTGGGCCAAAATTACAAAGCTTTATGAAAAATGGGATAATTAGGCAAACTATAGTTCCATTTATGTTTGTGAATATAAAAAAAACCCATCAATTCAACCCAATGGTGCTCAGTAACGTAGATCTACTCTTTGGAATGTTGACTGGGGGAAGGTGATGAAAGTTGAAGGGGAAAGCAGTGTCTGATTTCATTCAGATGTGTAACACTGTTCCCATTGTAACATCTCCAGAACAAGGAGATGTCGAGGTTGTTTTAACCACGCTACAATGCAAATCCCCAGCCAGTACCCAAGACCTACTACTATTGCAGGCCCAGCCACAGCGCAGGGCAATTACAGGGGCAATTAAACTCCAGCATGAAGATGTATGATTGGTGGGACTCCAAACGCTGGAAGCTTCAAAAGTGAACGGATGCTGGAGGTCAACAGTTGGTCCAGGTCATGTTTTGGAAGGGAGAAATGTACTGAAAACAAAATAATTAAAAATGTAATGTTATAAAAGTAAAAAAGTGATACCAAAATAAATTGCAAAAATAAGTCAAGTTATGACGTAAACAGGTTATAGCTTTTATTGTTTTAAATAGAAACACAACTTCTTTTTTTACACTGTAATAAAACTTACTTTTAAAGCAAAACAAATGTAAAGCAATACATAAAATAAATAAAAAAAAACACTTTCAAATTGTTTCAGCTTTTTATTCATTGTGTAACCCAGCTTTCACCCAACCATGGAGAGCCGTATAGAATAAGCAGATAAAGACAAATCTGTAGCAAACAACCTAAAAGTCGCTTGTAAATGTTCAAATTTATTTTTACCCACACATCTCTGGTTCGGGATCACGCTGTACTTCTCACATTGTAAAAAAAAAAAGTAGACAGGTTGCCAGTTCGTTTTAGGGCAACATTCACTCCTGAGAGGAATCTTCAAATAGTCTGAAGTGCAACAGAGAGGCTTAGAGGAATCTCCTGCATAAGGAGAACATGCAAACTCCATTCAGGATGCCCCCCACTGGCCTTGAACCAGTGACCTCCTAAATAATAGAAAGCAGCACTACCAACTGCATCAGTGTGGTGACGTCCAAACACCTCTTTAAAATATACACCGGTGGTGGTCGGGGAGATGGTGGTGGTGGGGGTCCTAAAGGCAATTACAGGGGCAATTAAACTCAAATCTAGAGATGGAAGATTGGTGGGACCCCCAAACGCTGCAAGCATCAAAAGTGAACGAATGCTTGAGGTCAACAGTCGACCGAGGTCAACACTGATGTCTATGTGAATGTTGCTTTTAGGGGGGTGGGGTTTGGGATCGCAAAAGTACTGCAAGTTCCTGTCAAACGTTTCATGCCAATTGATGAAAAGTTGAATTAGTTTAACATTAATTAAAAGAATTAAAACATTTATCTCCTATAAAAGCATTTTTACAAGCTTAAAAATAATACACCAAAAACAGCCTGAATACCCCATGCATCTATAATGGCAACCTTTTACCAGCCATGCTAAAGCTGTGTCTGGGAAATAAAGCTATAGAATAATATTCTTCAAGTCCTCAGGTCCCCTGGTGCATAATGTCATCGTCTCCCACAATGCATTGCTTAAACCCGTGCCCTTGACTTCCCCCAGTCCACAGTCTCAGCCAATCAGCCGCCTTCTCCAGGGACCAAACCTCATTAACTGCTTACGGAAAGATATTCTGGTTTTAATTGCTCTTCTTAATAGACCCGAGTAGCATGGAGGAGTGACAGCTGTATACATACAGGAACACACACTCACAAAACCACCAGAAATCCATGAACACACCCCAAAAATCTAACTAAAATGCACATAGAAAAACTTCCACTACAAGGCTGAATTTACTAGCACCATTTGGAAGTCATTGGGTTAATCCCATCCAGCCCGATTTGCAGAAAGAGATACAAAAGAGATGTGGGAAATAAGTTTCAGCTCTCGCTACGTCTGCCTTTGGGACGGCAGCTTACAGAATCCTGTCATTTGGGGAATCTGGGCTGTAATTGCTTTTTGTGTATTAAAGAGAAGTGTCAGGGCCAAAGACAGAAAGGGCTCGTCTGTGTTCCACCAGAGACCCCAACACATGAATGCATTCATCCTGTGTCGCTCCTTTAAGAAGATTCCCGCACATTTTTCCATTTTCGAAACAAAGGAGAAATTAAGTGCCTGCTGGCGCGGTGGTAAACAGGGGGATTCTTCGTGGAGAGAGCATTGTCTCTGGTTGCACATTGTTTTGCAGTATGAAGCTGGGAGTCTGGCAGTCATTGCCAAGGTCAGACCCGAGGAGAGGAAGAGGCTTTGCCGTGTTAAACAGCCTCATTTTAACCACACTGTATGACCAGCACAGATGGGGAGGGAGGGGGTGAACAGCTGTCCCAGGAGGGGGGTAAAAAGGTATGTAATTATGGATGTCGCATGACAACATTTCCTGATCCCATGGAGTGTAAAAGTACACATAGGTCCAGGCCTTTGTGTTCGCTAATGCATTTTCACTCACAATGCCATGTGTTTGTTGGCTGAATCACAATTGGTCACCAGAATGTCTTCAGACACCTGAAACTATTCCCCAGTCGAAACAGCAATTTATATGTATAAGTGAGAAGTTCCAAAATGCGAAAAATGCAATTTTTCGTCAAAATAAAAAAAGTTAGTGCCGTGTAATTTTGTCACATTTTAAAATCCCATAATAAATTTTTACATGCACAAACATGTGTGGCAAGTTGAGGTTTGCATATGCTAAACGTTATGATTTAATTGTCAGTTATATGGGGGAAAATGGTTCGTTTCTATCTTTATTTGCCATTTCAAACTTCTGTTTGAAAAAAAAAACTTTTTAAAAGTTTTTCAGAGAATAGTCTCTGCTGGAAGAATTTTAAACAGGTGGAAAAATGCTGTATGGTGGTGAAGGGGTGGAGGTGTGGCAGCTCGATCAAACACTGGTGTTACTCTGGCAGGAATGTACTTATATATGATAGCTCCAAGCCCCTCCCGAACTTCATTATTAAAATCCTGTGTAATACAGACCTGGTTTGTCCATTTTTTTTCCACACCGCTATAAACACCACTTGTGTTTTTTCTTAAAATGCCAAAGGTCCATTAATGCAATCACATCGCAAAGAAGATGAGATGCTGAGGAGGTTTTGAATTGTTTAAAAATCTTTCCATGAAGATGGAACAGAATCCTGCCTTTTTCTAGCTGATCATGGTCAATAAAGTCCAGCAGAGACCTGCCAAAGTCACCGTCAGGCGAAAGGAGCAGTGAGTCCAATATTTGCGTGTGGGTTCTGACACTGTTTAACCTGTCTATTCTGGAACTAACCACTTGAGTTAATATTGATGTTGTTTGTTTCCGTATTTTAAGTATTTCATTTACAATTAATTTTTGTGATTAAATGCTCCATCGAGTCGTAGCATTTTGAAGAACTTATTTTAAAATAAATCTTTCAATGGTAAAATGTGGATTTGAAATGTTTATGTTTGTATGACTTTGAAAGTTCATGAAAGTTTGGAACAGAACATTTTGATTTCGCTAAAACCATTTTTGTCCTAAAGAAAATAAATTTTTACCCAAATTCATCAGTTATGGCATTTTGAAAAAAAAAAAGTTTTTATTTATATACTTGATAAAAGATATAGGAACTCGAGTCAGACCAGTTTGGATGTCTTGGCAAAGTCGCGCTAACATAATAACCTATTTGCAGAGTCATGTTCCCAGCTTGTATCAAATTTGTATAGAACTACAGAAGTAAAAAGACAGGATGTGGGCTTGAAACCAAACTAAGCAGAAACCTGACCTTTCCAAATAATGATGATTTATGTATATTTAATTAAAATAATCAAAATCATAGCAAGAGCCTTTCAAAAAAGCAAATCTAAATCAATTTCATCCACATACTCAAGTAGTTGGCTATTTAATTTACAGCAACCTTATTTCAATTTATAGGCTGTTGGACTTATGTATGAAGTGAGAAGATAAAATGTGAAGGGCAGGAGAAATTAACCTCATATTTAATCATTGTCACAAAGAACGAAGACAGAAAAAGACAAAGCCACTCCATGATGCGGCCCAGTGTAGCAGGAAAGACGTGTACGACAGGTCGTTGTAATCTTGAGCGATCATAATTAGTGAGAAAGTCATCACAAACAATTAAGTGCAAGCACTCCACCTCAAGACTTGTGATCACAGGGAAATTCAATCAGGATGAGTGTTTTTAACACTTAGCAACGGAAAAAAGCTCTAAAGGATTATTAAGTCTTCATCATTTTTTAGGAAACTCTGAAAACTTTGCACAGGCCTTTGCACGGAAAGGTAACTTGGAATGCTGTTGGTGCTTACACTGGCACAGAACATTAGGTTCTGATAAAGCTTTAACCCCTTCAGACTACTAATATCACTGGTTCTATTATTGTACAAAAAATGATGAAGTAGAAATACTTTGTTTTTATTTAATAATACTATAACAATCTCAAACTCTTTCTTTGTTTGTTTTTTCAGCCCATTTCTAAGTTTAGTAGATATCTGTTCTAAAACAATTAGTAGATATTCTATTCTAAACTAAAACTATTGTAATATATATATAATTAAATGACACAGATAGAACACAAGAATAAAATATTTATCTTGTTTTGTAATCTTCAATCGAGTGGATTTCTCAGAAGAAACTTGAATGAAATTCCCCATTAAAAAGAAAAGCTTGAAATGTGGTCTTTTTATAACCTTTTATCTTTTTAAAGATTACCATATAAAAAATTTTAATTAACCATATAAACCATTTTGTGGACCAGTTTGACCATCTTCTGGAATTGATTAAGTTTTAATTGATTTGTAAGTGTCCTTAATTTGTGCAAAAAAAATCTAAAATAACATATTGGTGTATTTTAAAGGGTCAAACACCTGAGAACACTTCTCTGAGATACATTGATCTCTGTCTGCTGAAGTCTGTACCGTGGACAGTTTAGTTTATTTTCAACTATTAAGTGGTTGTGTTATTAGCCACGCCATTGGCCCCATATTAATTCAGGGATGACCACCCCTTTTTTTACACAAATGTTCCAAAGTGACGTGTGAAGCATTCTGCTAGGTCTTCTGGGTGTTGTAGTGTTTTAAAGACTTTGGACCGACTAGTTTTGCTCCATGACTCGAAGTTGAGGTTGTACCAATATTTGTTCTTTGTATTTCTGTTAAATACAAAATATTTGTATTTCTGTTAAATACAAAACAAAATAATGCTTTAATTCATGCACAGACGTGGATGCAGCCAGCAAACCGATTAACGTCCAGTAAATATTTTAAAGCTTGATAAGTTTTCCACCGGCGCTAACTTCATCAACTGAAATTATACGTGTTGTGCCTTAACATGGCACCACAATATCTGTAGGTGTTTGATTCTGCTGCCGCTGTTAACAATGATCACCAGAGGTCACGATTAGCAAAATCAAGAAGGATCTGAGAAATCATCCATTTGTACACTGCTAACACACTCAGTCATCGAGTTACCATGGCACCAGATTACCGTATTTTTCGCCGTATAAGACGCACTTTTTCTTCCCCAAAACTGAGGGGGAAAAGTTGGTGCGTCTTATACGGCGAATGTAGAGGGCCGTGGAGGGGAGGGCCGCGGCTTCGGCCTAGCTCCTGTTATGGTAAAAATATAACTTCTCAATTGATAATAAACTCTGGAGAACGTTTGAGAGAGAACACAGCAAATGTAGCTATTTATTGTAAAGATTTAGCAGTCTCAACGCATTTCCTACACACGCATTGGAAAAGAACCTCGAGCCTCTCAAAGTAAGACAAGCACTGGAAGAAGGGCGGGACTGAAGTATGATGTGTCTCTTAAAAGTTTCTCAAATTACATTTCTCTAAATGACCACTAGATGGTAGTATTATATAGGAAAATTCCCATCACACTCCGGAGCCATCGGTGCGCGCTGACGTCATTGCCCATCTCTGCTCGGATCGTTAGGAGCAGGTATGAAACATTACAGCCTTTTTTGTTAATTTTACTGTTTAATGACTGTCACATGTTTGGCATATAATTGTGGCATATAATTGTTCTTAAAACTG